TACACTGAACACCTTTCCACTCAAAGACATTATCATACACATCATTATCAACAGACAATCCTCCATTTCCGTGTTTAACTCTATATATCTTATTCTATCTTTTCCAAAGCAATGTGCACCACTTGGTCTTTTAAATCTCCCTGTTTTTCTGTGTGTGTATTTGGTAAAATAATCGAATAGGCACCAAACAAACTCTTTAAATGCTTTGCCACCAAATATCCAAACAACCCAAATGGATTTTAATTAAAGTCACAAGAGCTAACATTCATTCAACTTTTAAAAATATTATTTATTTAATTTTATTCATTATTATTATTTTTAAAATTTTGACCATAGGGCACCTGCACTTACCAAAGAGAGACAGGGAGAGAGAGAAAGCAAACCGCCAGGTATGGGACTCAAACCATGGTCAGCCATGTGGGAGTCCAGTGGCTTAACTACCACACCACTTGCTGGCTTCATTCATTCAACTTTTCCTATGGTTTTGATCTAAGTGTTCTACATGTGTTAGCTAATGTTATTTTATAGTGGAGGAAACTGAGAACAGAGAGTTTACTGAGTTCAGTGATTTGTTCAAGGTCACGAAGCTAGTAAGTGGCCAGCCCAGGAAGCCCGTCCTTGAAACCTGTATGTGCTATCACTATATAGCCTTAAAATGGTAGAGGTGGGGCTTGTGGAGGGAGAAGCTACAGAAGCAAAACTGTCAGATACAAATGTCAGAGGAGAGGAGCCATCCTCACCGATATTCTTTGTGTAAGAAACAGAGCAAAAAAGAGAAAGCAGTGTTTTTCTTTCAATATTCTTCTCACTTCTATACAAGATATTATGGTTATTATGTTTTGCAGTATTAATGGCCATGAACAAGAGTTCTACATAATTCAAATACCTCCAAGGAAGCAAATTTAAATCCTTCTTGCTTTCTGTCCCCTGACCCAGACCTCTCACAGATGAGAATGGCAAAGAATGGGGTTGACAAATTCAGCAACCAAAACATTGAAGAAAAGTGAGCAATGAGAACATCAGAAATAGCAAGGAGAATTTTTTGTTTGAAGTCACTTTGAATGCAATTTATTTTCTTACCTAGATTATTATAACATAATTTTGATCAATATAATTACTTGAAAACAACAGATCTAATGAAAATAGTTCTGTACAGTAGAATATATTGGTATTTCGCAAAACCAATTATTTGAGGTTTAACACGGGTATTACTAGTGGAAAAGAATTGCTTTTTACGGGACTTTTTTCTTGACAGAATGTAATAACTATGTATAGATTTCCCCAACTGTTCAAAGTTATGAACTGGGATTTACCAAGGAGGAAAAAAATGTTGCAATATAGCATTATACACATATTAAATATTTTTTTCTTTATTTAGTTGATTCCTTTTTAAATATTTCTAGAAGTTTCAGGGCAATAAAAAATGAAGACGAAGATCATCATGAGAAAATACAATTTTATGAGCAAGTATTTTTATGTCTGCTCTTTGCCTGAAAACCAAATCTATACTAAGAAAAATTCTATTTTGAACAAGATTGAAACTTTATGAGTATTGAATTTCCATCCCATTTCGTAGATTTCAAACTAAGAGATAAACTGAAGCATAGCAGGGCTGCAAACGACATTGTTTAGATAAACAAATCTTGTCAGAATTATCTTGGTACCAGCATTAGAAGCTCCAGGCATATTTGAAACTAAAATTCCAACTTAAGCTTTTAATAAGCAACATGACATGTCTCAACAGACATTTGCTTTTAAGACAATGCTTTTCTGGGACCATTTGGATTAGAATCTTTCCATTATGCTGCAAATATTCATAAAGGTATTTATTTATAAAACAAAAGCTTAGAAAAGCCGAGCTATTCAAATCACTGGATATTAGTGGAAAGATACAAGCTTGCCCTCCAGTCACTCAATTTTAATCTACATCATGAAAAAAGTCAATGCAATATGGAAAAAAAAAAGATTGCAAGGGATAATGGAAAATGCTGAGACAATGTTGAAAAGATACTGTAAAATATGTTAGTGTTATTTTTCTCTTTGGGAAAAAGAAGTTATTTTTCATTAGTAAAGTAACAAAAGATTTTCCATATAGTATATTCATCTTTCCCAAATTTTCACATTTCTCAGTCAAAATTCCTAGATGATGAATGGAGAAGGGATTGTAGTGTAGCCATACCCACAGGGGGTGATTTCTTACTTTCTTTTCACTGTCTCTGTCTCTCTGGTGAGTGCATGTGCCCCCGTTTAATGGGAATTTTGTCTCATACTGAGTAAATCATCCCCTACAAATCAGTTTTGTGGGCCACTACATTGCAACATGATAGAGAACACTCATGGTTCCATTTGGGGGAAGGAACGCTTTGTTACCTCAATTGAATGGTTATTCATGTTGGTCCTTGTAAAGTATTATGCTCATGCCTTGCTGGGAATAGAAATGGCATCCTATAATTCACACAGTCCCATAGAATTTAAGTGCATTCTTGTTCAAATTAGCTATGGAAGAGATTGACTAGTTTCTTACCAAATCTGTTCCTCTTCTCCCTGGCCTCAATATTGGATAATATTTTTTTAGCTTCCCTTCCAATGAGGTGTGGCCATGTGACAAGTTCCAGACAACAGACTATGAACAAAATTAATGTGCTCCACTTCCAGGTCTGGCTCATGACAAATTCTCATGAGCAACACTCATTCCTCATCTGCCCGTTGAATGAATAGGACTCTGATGCTCTGGATACAAAAGAAGGAAGGAACTGGGTCCCTGAATGGCTTCATAGAGGGGTGCTTGTTTTGGACTGCACCACATTAAAAAGTAAACTTCTACTGTAGCAAGCCACTGAAATTTGCAAGATAATTTATTATGGTGGCTAGTATTACTCAACTAATACATTAGTATATATTCAAATTCATGGTTTCAGCCAAAAATAAGAGTTAAATTTTTAAAACTGATAAAAGTCTACTTTTCATAAAAGGTTTTTGCCATAGGACACATGCAGTCACCAGAGAGAGAGACAGAGACAGTAAGAGGGAAAGTGAGAAATCACCTCCTGTGGGTATGGACACACTGTAATCTCTTCTCCATTCATCCTCTAGGGAATTTGGGCATGCATGCATACACTCCCAGTGTGACTTTCAAGCCACCATGTCCAGGACTTGATTCATGGTTAGCCACATGAGAACCCAGCACCTTAACCATCACGCCACTAGCTGCCCCCTCCCCCCCAAGGAAAGTCTACTTTAAATAACAATCACTGCAACTGAAAGAGGAAATGTCTTTAGGAAGTGAATCAAAATGTACATAATTGTAGACTGAAAAACTATTTAGTCCCAGTGAACAAGGTCATTAACAAAAGCAACAAAATAATTTGGGAAGTAGTAAACATACTAGAGGAAATACAGACTTTCAAGCCAGAAAGCAACATTTGCAAATTCTAAGCTCTGTTTTCTGCTTATATTGTAAGCTTGAACAATTTGATTAACCATTTTGGAACCTGTTTCTTCTTCTATGAAATGAGAACTGTGACATACAGCTCACAGTATTCTATAAAGATTTAAACACACACACAAATACAAATATACATACCGTCTAATACTCAGTAGCTATTTAGTGGATAATAGCTCTTATCACTAAATATTTACCTAAAAGGTACAAGTATGACTAATAACATTTAAAAATATTATATTTTTTGTTATGATCACTCTCTCCCTTCTCCCAACATATTGGCAGCCAGGCATTCCAGCTCCATCATCATCATTATTATTATTATTATTATTATTATTATTATTGTTATTTTCTGAGATTTTTTGCTATAGGGCCTGTGTGCTGGTCAGAGAGACAGAAAGAGAAAAAGAAAGTGAGAAATCACCCCCCTCCAGGGAGAATGGCCATGCTATAATCCCTTCTCATCCATTGCCAGGTCTGGAACTCAAACTGCAGTCGACTATGTGGGAGTCCAGCAACATAACCATTACACCATCTGTTGGTTCCCCAGCTCCAATTTTTAAAGGAAGAGGCAACACAGCAGACTAAGTTATAAAGAAATCAATTCATGATTTTTGAATTTCAAAAGCTTAGGCATGGCATAAGACAAAAGATTTGGGTAAAACAGATAATTAAAGGCAGGTTTCACAATTTCTACATCTGAAAAGATTCCTCTGGTTGTAAAAAAAAATGAGAGGGCACTTCAGGGAAAGTCAGAAAGTTCAATATCGATGTGTGTCCCTGGAGGGAGGGTAGGCGGAGGGAAGGGAGGAAACCTAGGAAGATCTGAGAGAATCTGAGAGCAGAGGTGACATGGGCCTCATTCTTGAGGACAGCCTCTGAGGAAAACTGGATACAGAGTAGTTTCCTTTCCACTTCCCTCTGTCCCTCTTCCCGACCCCATGTACACATACTGACACCACGCAGCCACTCAGTATCACTCTGTGCAAAGAAGAAAATAATATGCACCATGATGAGGCAGATGAGTCTAACGCAGACTCCCCACATTCCTGCCCACCCCAGTATGGCATAAGAAGCAGTACAATGATTTCTGATACCATACAATGGGGGCGTCAAAGTGGCAGAGAGACATCCAGATCTGGAAGTGTCATTGCAGAAAGAATGAAGCATGGTCCAGGAAGCAGCCACCAGGTTGGACCAATAAGCAAGTATGTGAGGGAGAGGCTGGCATCCCCATGAATGCCAGCCCTGAGAGATGACAACTAGGGAGCAAATGATCTGCAACACCATGCTCACCACATCCTCCAGCCCAAGCCTTCTAACTATGTATGCCCCGAGTTAACAAAAATTCTATTTCTCTCTATTCAGTGGAATTACATTCAGTTATTGAAAGATAACATTACAGATCGAAAATCGTATTCAGCACACTAATGGTCATTTACAATGATTTCACACTATTTTTATGAGTGTGATAGGGGCATATGAACTTGGGTGGTTAACTGAAACTTTTCATGCATCTTGCCTTGAGCTTCCAATGCCTGTTAAATAAAAGACTTACTTCGATCAGTAATGATTGTTCTAGCCTCTTGATTGCTGGTCTTGTTTTTCAAATTCTGGGCAGCAGTTATGAGTTCTTCCAACTGGGGGCGCCTCTGTTCCAAATCCTGCAGTGTTGCCTGAAAGAACAAATATCACTAAATTTTGGGGTTCTACAGCATTATGCATTCTTTTTATGTAATACAAAGTAAAACATAATTTTCAGAGCAGCCCAAACGCTTTTTGAAATTAAAAAAAGATGTTGCTGGATATAAATCTCTACTGTGTAAGGATTTATAGGAAACAGTTTAACAAGAAATGTGTTTCATTCTTAGATACTGAAAATATTTCAAGTGAAAATCTTGAATATAGATCTTCTTCACTATTTAAGAACTTAGATGGAGTCATTGCAAAGTCCTTGGATTTATGTGAACCAATATATGAGTGCCATGAACGAAATGTGCAATTCGGAGTTGTGATAATACGCGTAAAAGAATTACAACTATTTATACTTGTAATCTTATTTTCTAAAATTAAAGTATATAATTATTTTAAAAACAGAAAAAGCACAGAAGTGATTTAAGAGATAGTATTGAACTTCTTGTACCTGAGATTCCTTACCTGCAAAATAAGAAGGTAGAGAAAGTAAACTAAATTAGTCTTTCCCCAAAGGTGCCAGTCAGTAAGAATCATCAAACTCCTTTGTCCCATCCCAGAACTAATGAATTAGTAGTGGAAAGACTGGGAATCTGCATTTTACACAAATTCCTTGCTTATAGGATTAGGCAATTTTGGAAAACATCAGCCAATATGCTAGTATATATATTCTTCTATATTACAAATGACTTTGACTTCATACTGCTTTAGTTAGCAATACCAAATAGAATTGAGCCAACACACATATATTTTTTTCAGTTTATAGATATCATGGGTAATTATTAAGAAATCGCTCTCTCTGAAACATCTATCTATTGTCACTATCATCTTAGTCTCTGTACTCCAATGGGCCCAAATCCCAGAGAAACTGAGAAAGAAATTTCAGAGAAATAAGATATCTGCCTTTTTTTTTATACCTTTTTTTTTTTTGAGAGGTTTTTGCTATAGGGCACATGTGCTCACCAGACAGACAGAGACAGAGAGAGACAGAGAGACAGAAAGCGAGAAATCACCCCCCGGGGGTATGGCCACGCTACAATCCCTTCTCCTCCATTCTCCTCTCGGGATCTTGGGCACTCACACACACGCGCCTGGCGTGAGTTTAAGCCACTGGGTCCGGGACTCGAACCGCAGTCGACTACGTGGGAGTCCAGTGACATAGCCATTACGCCAACTGCTGGTCCTGATATCTGCCTTTTTCTGGTTCTAAAACTGAATAAATTTTAACTGGGTAAAGTCAAGTCAATATTTACTATTAATTCATAACTACTATGTGACAGATGTTTTACACATGGTTTATCATTACTATTCTCATATCGATGACACTAATATCCAAGCCAGAAGTCCATCTTATTTGAAATAGGATGCTCTTGTAACTACCACATGAGGCCAATGAAAATGAAGAGATGAAATAGGGTGGACCGTAACACTTAGGAAACTACCATACCCTATGACTCCTGCTGACTTTTCTCAAAATTTTTGGTTTTGGAAAGGTCAAAATTTGACCTGTTGGTATTCTTTCTTTTGTGAAGAGGTAGGGAGCTAGACTTGGTGATTTAAGGACAATTTACTTTGGGTAATATTAAAATAATGGAAAAAAAACTTATCCAAACATTGTACATCTATTCTGAGCATTTTTCTCCCTCTGTATTGAAAAATTGGAGGGGCTAACTTTTAACAAATTTTCCACGTTTGTAAGCCATGATTGCTCAGAAGAAAAATCCAATTTTCAGGTTTCTAACTTTTATGGTTTCTTTACACAAAAGGGTGTTTGAAATATGGAACAAATTGCCACAGACAGCTATTGAAGGAAGTGGCACAAGTCAGTTGGAGAGTACTGAACAAATTTTAAAGTAGGAACCATATAGTAGCAGACATATTTTATGAAATAAGATGTTTTTCAGGGTTAGAATGTCAACTCTGGTCATCTGTGACACAGCAAACTGAAGAGTTCCTTTGCAACTGCCTAATCTTAAATGTTTGAATATATTTAATAGATTTGTTTAAACAGACTTACCCAGAGACTTGAGACAAATTCAAATTTCCACCCCAGATTTAATAAAGAACTTTAAATGCACATAGCTAATGAGATACATAAGTTACACAAATTCATTCATTAATTCATTGGTTGTAATAAATGCGTTTCAAGAATTAGGTGCTCTTGTAGGTGCTATGGAAGTAGCTATTAACAAATGCATTAGGTATGGTGTGTCATTTGAAGGAAAAACTACAATTTTGGATACTTAGAATTTTTTATATAACAAAGATTATCTTTATTGGATTATTTTGCTTTGATTCAATATTAATTTACCCTCAAAGAACCAGACTATTCTTTGTTTCCTGCTTTTAAATACATTACTCAATGTTTGCTCCAATTTTTTTCCTTCTTTTAGGTTTTTAAAGTTCATTTAAGAAGTATGTTGTAAAAGTAACTTCATCAAGTTTAATCTGAACTTTACCAGGCACCAAATTAAACCTGACCACAATGAACAGCTTTTACTGCTGAAATTAGCAAGCATGTCAATTTAGGCTTAAAGCAAGCCATTTTCCTCTCTAATGAACAAAATAGGTCTCAGGGTATTGTGAAACCTGTTCTCTAGTTGGGTGATTCTCTAATTCTGCTGACAGACACATGCTTTGTAAGCACCTGAGGAAATTATTAATGACATCCTTTGAATCAGCCTCCTTAAAAAAAAATCTAAGGAGATTCACAGCTGCAATTCAAGTGTTCACTTCTAAAATACTTCAAAACAAAATTGCAACTCTTTATCCCATTCTTTGGTCAACACATACAAACATCCATTTCAAAAAAGAGACTGTAAAATAATAATGTATATTGCTATGGAATTTATCAGGCACTAGTATGTTCTTAGTGGTTTCTCAGGATAGTGGAATGAGAATTTTCTCCTTTGATTTCCTATCCAGAAATAATGAGACGGATTTGAATATGGCACAAACGAGTGTTTTTTCATTAAGATATTATAAATACAGTGACTAAAAGGTCTTTTATTTATTAATGAACAGAACACAAGCATATCATAAAATCAAAGATTATTTTTATTTTCATTTGGTTTCCTTTTAAATGTCTATTTACTTGCTATAATCATTTCTTTGACTCAATAATTTAGTTTTATAGTTTCAGGACTTCTCAAACACAATGACCTTCATCTCTATTCCATTGAGCCATCCACAGATGAAAGAGCACCCTAGGTCTAAAAATTACTCAAACTACTTATCTCCAAAATATCCATCTACAAAATTCTGTTCTTGGCCCCCAATCTGCTTCCCTTACAAGATGCTACTCTCTCAAAGATTCTGTTGCTAATCTTCACCCTCATATGACTTCCAGTCCTCTTCTATCATTCAATTTCCTTATTCTAGCTTTAGTCATACTAAATAAATAGAATACCAGCTATGTCTGTTTATTTCTTTGATATAAGCTCAGATATTTATAACACATATAACTTAAGTGAAGGAAACTAAAACCATTACATGCTTAACAGTACCTAAGCATGATAACTGATTGTGTCTACATGGATTCTATTATTCTGGAGGAAACAAAACACAGGAGAAGGAATCGATGCTATTTCTAAGAAGTCATAAGACAGCTATTGGGCTTTACTAAAAACAGCTTACCCCTTGGAGATGAGAATTCATGATGGAATCCACTAGCTGAGCAAAGATGGAGGGGAAAAAAAAATCTTCAAATACAAAGTGAATCAGAAGGCTTTAATCCTACTAAGTCCCCCCAGGGTTGAGGGAAATGGTTATAAATAGCAATCTTAAGAAAAAGCTAGTTTAACAGTGAAACATACATACTAGAAGTAGGTCATTTTAAGCTCTTAGAAAGAATCATAATTTGTTATTATAGTCATTAAAATGGAATTTTACCTAAATTATATTCAGATAGAAAATTCTACTGTAGACTTGAATACTTAGCATTTATATATCTAAGAAAAGACTTTTTTTCAAATGCATCTTTTATAATCATGGTAAAATAAACATAACATAAAATGTACCACATTTACATGCACAGTTCAAGACATTAAGCACATTCACGTTGTTGTGTTATTGTCACCAGCCATTCATACACAGAACTCTTCATTTTGCAATACTAAAACTCTGTACCCATTAAACAATAACTTCCCCTTTCCCCCTGTCTCTAGCTCCTGGCAATTCCCATTCTACTTTCCATCTCTGCATTCGATTACTCTAAGAACCACACATAAGTGGAATCACATGATATTTATTCTTTTGTGACTAGCTTATTTCACTTAGCATAATGTCTTTAATGTCCCTTCCTTTTTAAGGTTAAATGATATTCTATTGTATATATACCACATTTTAAGAAAAGATCTAACAACCAATTTCATTGTAGGTTTTATATTTTTCTATAAAAATCTACAACCTTCATATAGTTACAATTAGAACAAAGACACAGTGATGGTCAATTATGCCATTTTCAGGAAGTAAACTTGAATTTAGATTAAATATAACATAAAACATCATATTATTATATTGAGAACTTTAAAACATTAATATTAAAGATGAACAAGATACTTTTAATTTATAGCACCTTTTTAGGCATGGAAGAAAATAAGCATTTAAGTTTGGTAGGTACTAAACTGTAGCCTTTCTAGTAAACGGAAGGGTTTTACCTGTGAAGATGTTAATCATTGTCTAAATTGCCTCATTAAACACTTTTTTTCTGCCAAGTTATAGGAGTTCTTTATTAATAGGCTAGCTGGCTGTGGGAGGATTCATATCTTTCATAAACCTCACACCTCTGAGTGAAAGGAGAAGGATGCTTATATAGGCAAAAATCACAGTCAATTCTGGGTTGACATGGTGATTACAATGGAAACTGAGGAGGGAGTGAAGAGAAAAGGGAGTTGGGTTCCTTTTATTTTATTTATTTTTTTAAATTATCATTATTATTTATACATTCAATCGCAATACATCATTTAGATCATAAAGAGACTTT